TACCTCCTTTTCTTGTCATCAGGGAGGGAGATGTTATTATTCCCCATTTCGTCAACAATAAACTCCGGAAGTTTGGCCGGCTGAGTCTAAAACTAGGTTGTCCACGGCAAAGCCCGCGCTCTTTACCACGCCTCGGGCTTCCTGCCCTGGCTAGATCGTTAAACCACCTGATACGGATGCCCCAATCTTCACCAATTAAATCAGAACCCTGGCAGTGCAGCAAGCATGCTGTTTTTGTAAAAGCCCCAGGTGAGCACAGTGCACCTTCAGGATTGAGAACCACTGCCCCGCACAAGGAGTGGAGGAGGGCCGTGTGGACAGAAGGGCCAGGCGGTGCGCAGATGCTGCCCGTTCAGTTATCCACCCACAGAGCTGCACTGTGCTGGGGTGGGGGCTCCCCACACCCAGTCAGTGAGCACTAGGAGCACTCTTCATCTGTGCAACATAAAATGTTCTGGGACGATAAAGCCACAAACACTGCGTGCTGTCTGACCTATTCCAGCAGAAACTGCTTTGCATCCTGGGCTTTTCCATATAGTGTGCACTCAGGCAGGGGCTCCCCAGGGGACACTGGGCAATGACGGAAGCATCTTTGCTTCTCACCGCTGGGCAGGGTCGGGAGGTGCTACAGGCATCCAGTGGGTGAAGGCCAGCGATGCTGCTAAACATCCTACTGTGCACAGGATGCCCCCACCACAAAGAATCACCCAGTCCCAAATGAAAACAGTGCCGACGCTGAAAACCCCACTCAAAGAGCAATAGTCACCACCGGGTAGACACAAACCCTGGAGTACCACCCTCCTCCAGGTCAGAAGCCTGTCCCTGACCAGGCATGTTTCAAAGAATCACAGAATCTTGGAACAGTAAGAGACTGAGAGACAGGCCAACGGAGACCCAGGCTGTTAGGACAGACCTAGAACAACGCTACACGCTGTTTCCCAAACCACATGTCGCGCTTGGCTGGCTGCACCTGCTGCCAGGTAGTGCCTGTGTAGCAAATGCACTGAGAAAGGTATTCCTTACTGCAAACGCCTATCGTTGGTTTAACAAGTATGTGTTGGGTGCCCAGTAGGTTCGGGGCACAGTGCCTAATTTCCCTGCTGCACTGTTCCCCAGCCCCCAAAAGCCCTCTTTGTGTTCAAGCCCAATAGAAGATGCAGGCAAGACAGGCTCAGAACCCAGCAAATCACCCCCAGCTGGGTTTATGGTGCTTTTATTGTTTTCTGGCTCATTGGGTAACTTGGCAACCTGGGATCAGGTATGCAAGGAAGTGAAGGAGACCCATCCAAGAATCACACACAAGGTTGGGGCAGGGGAGCTGCACATGTGAGGCTCTGCCCAGCCTGAAGCCTTGGGCAGGTGCCCTGCATTCCTTGCAGGCTGCCCAAAGCTGCCCTCTGCCCCCAGCCCAGCCCTGCTCCCAGCCCCCTCCCACTTCAGGCAGGTGACAAGGCAGCTGATTCTGGCCACTTAGCCACCAAGCATGGGTTCCACCTCCCTCTCCTCCCCCCTCCTCAAACCCTCCCCTCCTTCTCCTCCCTCTCCCTCTCTTCCTCCCCCTCCCCCATCTCCTTCCCTCCTTCTCCACCCCCTGCCTCTCCTCCTCCTCCTCCTCCTCCTCTCCTCTCCTCCTCCTCTCCTCCTCCTCCTCTTCTCCTCCCTCTTCCCTGGCGCCCACACTGTTATCTACAAGAATAAGTGCTCTGTTGTAACTTGCCACAGAAATGAAAACTGCTCAGGGGAAGAAATTGGGAACGTTTTGTACTACAGGGTCACAAAAGATTTAAAAGTCATTCTCTCTACTGGAGGTCTCATTTACACTGGGCAGAAACAACAACAAAATAAAAACCTGTCAAAGGCAAAGACTGCAGAGGCAAGACTAGTGGGGCGGAGAGGAGAGGGAGAGGCAGCCACACGAAGCTGCCATGTGGGAGACATTGAAGGCCGAGTGCTGGGGTGCTGGTGCTGAGTGGTGCTGGAGGAGGGGTGCTGGGGTGCTTCCCCCTGCCCAGCGCCCTGAGATGCCCCTGGTGCCTGCAGACCACTCCTCTCCATGCCAGGAGCACCGCTCCCTGCACTTCCACTCATCCAACGAAACTCCTGGCACAGCTGTCAGCTGAAACCTGACCGGAGACAGCTCTGGTGTAAAGGGGAGAGGAGCCTAAGCCACCTGCATGGCAGGGCCTGTGACCACAGCATAAGCTGCCGGTGTGTCACCTGACTCTCCCCATTCCACCTGCACGTTCTTTCCTCAGGGAGCCTCCTCTAGTTCCCCAGATTCATTCTGTCACTCAACAAATATTTATTGAATGAATAATATTTATTGAGTGGCCCCCAAAGATTAGGTGCCCTTAAGTGTAGTCTGTCATAGCAAACTCCTCCTATTTGACAATATATATATGGTGATTAATTAACTACTCAGTAATTATTATATATAGTATTACAGATATCTCCCATTTTTTCCCCTTTACTCACTTCTTTCCAGCCCCTACCCACCCCCGGTCTTCACCACCCTAGTGCCCGTGTCTGTGGGCTATGCGTATAAGTATATAAGTTCTTACGTTTATCTCTTCTTGTCTCCCCATCCTAACATCAAGGTATGTCAGTCTATTCCCTGCCTACATGTTTTGGGTCTTATGATCAAGTCATTTTAGTAATTATTTCTTAGGGTCCGTTCCCACACCCAACCCACCAGCTTTCCAGAATACTGAGCTACATGAGGACAGGAGCCAAGTCTATCTGGTTACTTGCTCTATTCCATCACCACTGGGGCCAGGACTATTGAATGAATGAGGGAACAAATGAATGAGCAAACTGTCCATCTAGGTCAGCGCTGCCCATTAGAAATGCTAGTCACAAAGGCAAGCCACATGTGTCATTTAAAATTTTCTAAAAGCCACATTTTTAAAAAAAATGTTAAATTGCTAGGGATGTAAAGTATAGCATAGGAAATATAGTCAATAATATAGCAATAACTATGTATGGTGCCAGTGGGTACTGGAAATATGGGCTATTGGGGGGAACATTTTATAAAATATATAATTGTCTAACCACTATGCTATATACCTGAAACCCATACAAAATAATATTGAAAGTAAATTGTAATTAAAAATTAAAAATAAATTTGAAAAAGAAAAACTTTTTAAAAAAATTTATCTTTATTGTTGAAAGTATTACAGATGTCCCCTTTTTGCCCCCCATTAACCACCCCCCCTGCTCCCACCCCCTCCCCAGGTCTTCCCTGAACTACTGTCTGTCCCGTCCATGGACTATACCTATCTGTACTAATAATAGCCTAGGTAGTCGTCACACCCTCACGTCGTCAAAAGATGGCCATCACAAGATGGCCACACGCACAGCAGAGGTGGAGCCCGGTGGCCATTGTGTGCAGTGAGGCCTGGGGTTCCTGCGGCTCCACGTGGCGTGGAGGAGGTCAGTCCTGGCGGAGGAGGCGGGTCGAGGCAGGGGAGGGCAGTTGTGGGCAATCAGGCTGGCAGGGGAGTGGTTAGGAGTCAGTGGTCCCGGATTGTGAGAGAGATGTCCGACTGCCACGGGGATCGGGCCTAAACCAGCAGTCAGACATCCCCCAAGGGGTCCCAGATTGAAGAGGGTGCAGGCCAGGCTGAGGGACACCGCCCCCCATGCACGATTTCGTTCACCGGGCCTCTAGTATGCATATAAGTTCATGGGTTAATCTCTTCCTGTGCCCACCCCCCCTTCCCTCTAAAATACATGAGTCTGTTTCATGCTTCAGTATCTCTGGATCTTTTTTGTTCATCAGTTTATTTTGTCCATTAGGTTCCACATATGTGTGAGATCATGTGATACTTGTCTTTCTCTGACTGGCTTATAAGAAAAACTTTTTAAAAAATGGCTGGGCACTTTCTAACAGTTGTGATCACTGCCTATATATAATTTTGTATCCAGGTTTTTTCAGTTAAGATGAGAACTTAAATTTTTCTCATACTCATAAAATCTGTAGATGTGAAAAAAGGGTAAAATTAATTTTAACAACATGTTTTTATTTAACCTATATATCTAAGATATTGTCATTTCAACATTTAATCTACTTGAAATAATTACAAAAAAATATGTTTTGCATTCTTTTTCTCATATGAAGTCCTCAGAATGTGGTATGTGTTTTACTCTCACAGCATATCTCTATTTGGACTAGCCTCATGCCAAGGGCTCAATAGCCACCTGTGGTGAGTATATTATATTAGACAATACAAGTGTGGGTTTCGCTAGGGCCTTCCTGGTGTGCTTGTATTCTGCTATATAATCTCCTCTATACCAAGAGACTATATGGCCTCTTGCTTATGGTCTTGTGTTAGATTGCCTGGTTCGAATCCTAACTCTACCACTTACTACTTGTGAGACCCAGGACAAGTTATGTAACCTGTCTGTGCCTCAGTTTCCTCTTCTATAAAGTGGGAGTGCTAAGAGTATTTACATTATGGGAGATATATCAGGAACAATAAAGCCCTTAGAACTATGCCTGCCACACAGTAAGTATTCAGTAATATTAGCCATTTAATATTTTATCATACACTAGAGGCCCAGTGTATGGATTCATGCACCGGTGGGGTCCCTCGGCCTGGCCTGTGCCCTCTCGCAATCTGGGACCCCTCAGGGGATGTCGGACAGTTGGTTTCAGCCCGATCCCCACAGGCCAGGCCAAGAGACTCCACCAGTGCACAAATCCGTCCACTGGGCCTCTAGTACGCATATAAGATCTTTGGTTAATCTCTTCCCACCCTCCCCTCTCCCCCTTTCCCTCTGAGATTCATCTTTTTTCCCCCATGTTTCCATGCCTATGGTTTCTGCTCCTGCATTGAGCATCTGCCCCCTGGATGGTCGGATAGTAAGATGGTCGGACGGACGCTTAGGCTTTTATATAGAGAGATGTGTATCACAAACAGACATTTATATCCACTTCTTGGCGGTAGAGATGGGAGGTAGCTGGTAGGACAAAAGAAAAACCAGTATCCATTTAGAACTGCATTCTGAACATACTCTTTTATAAACACAGCAAGACATATCTTAGTGAAAAAGACTGATTTTGGACATGCAGATTGTACAGGCCAGAAACAACTTTTAAGCGCACATGGATAAGAGAATTTGCACTCTGCTGAGGCACACGTTATTGGTGAGATGAGACGTTCTGGTTTCAATAAAAACCTTTTGCAATCTTGTACAGGTTGTTTTAATGCCTTTCTCTCGTGTTAAATTCAAGTTCTGCTGTCCAGGACACGCAAGTTGTCTCTTTTCCAATCCAACACAGAAAGCAAGTGACATTTACGTTTGATTTCCTGTCTGGGACAGAAAGCCTGCTCAGGCAGGCGGAGCGCTCAGCAGGTTGCCGGCACCGGACAGATGTTTTCCTCGCCCCAATGGCTGTCATGGTGGCCTTGGAGCAGGAGGGTGCCACATTTGAAACAAGGTAATAACAGCTACCTTACAGGAATGTTGTGAAATGTAATTGAAATCATGTGAGTGACAATGCTTGACCCAAAGTAGGTACCTGATCAATATTTCCTTAGGAGAACGCAACCTGAGGTCTGTGTCTTATTAACGATGCCACAGTCTCATGGAAAGCATCTTCTTTATTTCGAGCTAAAAATGTGTTCCTATCCTGCCCTTCTTGACTATGCAGAATGAGTCTAATCTCTCTTCCAAGAAGCCCTCAACTATATGAGAGTAACTTCCCACGCCTTCTCCACTACACGTTCTCTTTTCCAGCCCCCAAGTCCCAATTTCCTCCAACAAGACAAGAATTTGTTGTCTTCAAAGTAACTAGAAGCATCGGGGCATTAGTGGATCCCAAGACACACCTCAGCACCAATAACGTGCCTGTAGCCTCAGAGAACCCACCCGGGGATTTGTGGGAGATGGATAAAGTTAACCTCGTGATTAGCCTAATGCTTTCTTTATTACGTAAAATTCAAGGAACTTTTTCCATGTGCTCTCCCCGCTCCCAACACGGACTACAGATGCTGTTTTGTTGGAGGGAGACTGTTGTGGGATGAATACATTCTTCACAGTTGAAACCCAGCTCTGAACCTTTGAAGTGACATTTATTGTGGTCTTGGGAAAGGTTCGGTGGAGGTGAGGAGTGACAGCTGAGGGTGATAAATCAAATGCAGCTCCGTTTTCATTTAAGGGCAAGCTCTCCTCCAGTCTGCCCGGCTCTGTCATCAGCCGGTGCTAGCAGCTTGTGAGTTCTTATGTAAATGGTAAACAGAACAGTGAATGGTGACAATTTCTTCAACTGCTAGGTTGAGCCGTCAGCTCCCATTCTCTCCTTAAACGTGACATCTTAAGCTCCTGGTTGGAGGAGAGTCATGTTAACAAAAACATTTCAGGGCTAATCCTAATCATAAAGCCTCTCTCAGGAATGATGCCACTTGTGCAGCAGGTTCACAACACACCTCGTCTGCTCTGCCTCCTCAGCCCTGAAGTGAAGGTTGCAATAATCTAGCACCGACTGTCCAATACGGGAGCCACTAGCCACACGTGGCCACAGAGCATTTGAAATCTGGCTAGTTTGAATTGTGATGGGCTGTAAGTATACAATAATACGCACAGGGACTCAGCTGGTTGAGTGTCGTCCTATGCACCAAGAGGTCGCCGGTTCAAATTCCTGTCAGGGCACATGCCAGGGTTGCGGGCTTCATCCCCAGTAGGGGGCGTGCAGGAGCTGATCCATGTATTTCTCTCTGATTGATGTTTCTATCTCTTCCTCTCCCTTTCTCTCTCTCTAAAATCAATAAAAACACATTAAAAAAATAATTCACATAGGATTTCAAAGATTTAATATAAAAAACTGTAAAATAGCCCAATCGGTGTGGCTCAGTGGTTGAGCATCAACCTATGAGCCAGGGGGTCATGGTTTGATTCCCGGTCAGGGCACATGCCCAGATTGTGGGTTTGATCCCGGTGGGGGGTGTGCAAGAGGCAGCCAATCAATAATTCTCTCCTATCATTGATGTTTCTCTCTGTCTCTCTCCCTCTCCCTTCCTCTCTGAAATCAATAAAAACATATTTTTTAAATTGTAAAATATCGTATTAGTAATCTAAAAAATTCATTTTAGATTACTAATAAGATATTCATTTTATGTTGGTTTTGATAATATTTTGGATATATTGAATTAAACTAAATTATTTTTAAATTAATTTCGCCTTTTTACATTATTCAACGTGGCTGCTAGAAATTTTTAATTAGATATGTCTTCATAATGTGGCCGCCATTACATTTCCATGGAACAGCACTAGTCTGGAGGGCAAGGTAGGAAGCTGGAAATCCCACATTTCTCTGGCCCTTCCTCCGGGTTCAGACTTAGGAGCAAAGGGGCTACATCAGAAGGTGCCACTGACTTTACTGCTTCTTGTTGGTTAGACTGCAGCAGTGGTCCTCACACTTCAGTGAACGTAAGTGTTATGGATTGAACTTCCCCCAAAACTCATATGTGGAAGCCTTAACCCCTGTGACTGAATTGGAGATAAGGCCTTTAAGGAGGTGATTACACTTAAATGAGGCCATAAGGGGAGAGCCCTGATCCAACAGAACTGGTTCATAGGTTGACGCTCAACCACTGAGCCACACCAGCTGGGCAAATTTAAGTCCTTTTATTGGAAGATAACTCCTGGGGGTGGAGGATATACTGTCATAGTGCAAAGGCTAAATCAGGGGGAGGATTTAAAAAAAAAATTAGCTGAGCTTGGTCACAAATGAGAAAGTAGGCTTAATTCGTTCATACGTGAAAAATACTCTTGAGTCTGAAAAACGGCTCTCCACAATGTATTCTTCATTATTATTATTCATCAGTGTCAATGTGTGGCTTGTTTTCAATTCTTCTATATCGAAGCTAGTGAGACATGATGGTAAAGTTTCAAGACAACATGAAGTTACTAGTGCCTCTTGTTAGAAAGCAGCATTTTTCATCCCAGGGTCATGCACCACCATTTCTCTTATTCATTACTGATGCAACATCAAGCTGTGAGCTTCTGCAGGGCTGAAAATAATTCATGCAACCAATCTTCTTTAACAAACTAATCATCTCTCCCCTTCAGGAAGTACAAGCTATGGAACACTGGGGATGATTATGAAAAATAACAGTATTTATATAAACCTACTGGGCTCCACGATTCCTTCAGTACAGTTAGGGAAACTTTAACTGTGGTTAAAGATCTTTCCACTAAAACTCTCATGGAGACAGCAAGGGCCTGCCACATCATTTGGACAGAAGTTTCCAAACATTGTTCTCAGAATCCCTTTCCACTCTTACCAAAAGCATTAAGTACCCCAAAGAGCTATCGTTTACATATATTACAACTATCAATATTTGCTATATTAGAAATTAAAGCTGAAAAATTTTTTAAATGAATTCGTTAATCTTATTTTTAAAAACCTATTAGCATTTTTATAAAACACACTATATTTTCCAAAACAAAAACATTAGTGAGAAGAATGGTATTGACTTACACTTTTGCAAATCTCATGCCTGGCTTCATAGAAGACAACTGGATTCTCCTATCTGCTTCTGTATTCAATCTATTACAGTATCACACGGCATATAGCATCTGAAATGAGAGAGAGAATGAGAGTGAAAAAGTATATAACAATTTAATTTTATTGCTAAGATAGTTTAGACTTCGTGGACCCCCTGAGAGTGTCTAGGGAACCACTAGGGTTCCATCAACACATTTTGAGAACTGCTGATTTGGGATAAGACTGACTCCCATAAATGAAAAAATAAGCTTAACTATCTAGTGAAGAAAGTGCTAGAACTAGAAGAGTGAAAGCTAAATAGAAGTAGAAAACATAGTATCTGTTTTAAGGGGGTTAAAATGTATTTTGCAATAGAATAGTGGGGCATATTGCATTACTCTTCAAAATATCTGCTGCTCCTCTTACCAGCTTCTCCTAAGTGGGCCCTCCCAACAGAGACTCTCCCTAAGGGACGAGTATACTCTTACCACCCTATTGTGTTCATGTCTGACCATCTGAAATGTGAGTGGATTGACATGTGTTACTTCTGTGCAGAAGCTTTCAGGACCATTGCATGATTTCCTCATCCATCATTTCCTCTCCCATCACACTCACAAGGCAGCATGAAGCAGAGTGGCAATCAACCCATGAAATCCATGTAATAAAGTAGTCGTCCACTGAAATTTTTGGAGCTGTTTGTTACTGCAGCATAACTTAGCCAATGGTGACTGATAAAGGTGGGATAAATAAGTACAGAGAAACTTACATATTGAACAAAGTATCATAGTAATTATTCCCACATATTAAAGAATAAGAAGCCAGAGATGATCTATGCCAGCATCCTCAATTTTTTTAATTAAGTGTAGCAAGCACTATGGAGTCAGGCCCTATGCTAGACCCTGAATATTTAGGGATGAGTAAGATATGGTCTCAGTATGGAAGGCAGTGGTAGGAAGCATGGCTTTGACATTAGACCTAGATTGCAAGCTTAATTCTGCTACTCACAACTGTAGGACCTTAGCAAGTTTCTCTGGATTTTATTATTCTTATTTATAAAATTAGGATAATATTACCTACTTCAGATGATTGTGAGAATTAATCGATATGATTAAACTACTAGTATATGGCAGATAGCCTAGCATAGTGTATATTTTCAATAAAGACTGCTTTCTTTTCACCTTTGTCCCCCCATCTTCCACCCCCAATCCCAGATGAGGTCTTGGGATTATAAACATAGCTCTATTAACAGTTTCTCAGTTACTTTTCTAAATTTTAGTCTTTCCAAAAAATAAAAAAATTATATGGACAACATACATATAAACCAGGGGTCCTCAAACTTTTTAAACAGGGGGCCAGTTCACTGTCCCTCAGACCGTTGGAGGGCCAGACTATAGTTTAAAAAAAAAAACTATGAACAAATTTCTATGCACACAGCGGTGGCAAAAACACCCGGCGGGCCAGATAAATGTTTTCGGTGGGCCGCATGTGGCCCGCGGGCCGTAGTTTGAGGACCCCTGATATAAACACACAAATATATTCATTTAGTCTGTCACTCTAATAATTATTAAATACTGTACTCAATTTACAAATGAGAAAACTCAAGCAGTGAGAGGCTGAAAAACTTCCCCAAGATCATATACATCAGCACATAGATATTTACCTCATTTTTTAAATGGCTGATACTATTCAACATATTGATAGTTTCCTTAAACATTCCCTTTTTGATAAACATTTTCAAGTTGCATTATGTGTTTATTATCACAACAAAGGAACAACCTATACAAATATCTTTTTATACATATGTAATAACATTTGTAGGATAAATTCTTAGAATTGGGTAGTTAGGTCAAAGAGTATAGAAATTTCAATTTGGGTAGATAACTGAAATTGCCTTTCAGAAAGTCTTTGCCGATTTATACTCCAGCCCATAGGGTAGGACATACCTTTTCCCGAGTCTCATCTCTGCTATCATCTTAATCTTCAGTGGCTTATGCCTCTGGATCAGTGTTTACCAAGCTGTCATTGGGCACAGCTTAGGCAAGGCTGCTGCACAGGGAGCACCCCCCTTTTTGTCCTTGGTGGGTTAATGCCTTCTTTCTCTGCTTTCACCCACAATGCATTTGGCGAGTCTGGCTAGAAGTGGGCTTTGTTCTGCTCTGAACTACACAAGAATAATTCATCTATCTGAAAGGTAACTTGTATATTGATCCAGAGACATTGCAGGAGTGTAGCTTTTTCATTGATTATTTGATAATGGGTCATTTCATTTCTATCTACTTCTGACTTCTCTATCTAACTCAGATAAAAACCCAGGTAACCCTGAACACATAATTCATCTCAGTGAAAAGCATTTTGCCTGCTCATTCACATTAGCTCAAAAAGTGACCCTGCAAACCTCCAAATCATTCAGAACAATATGAATATGGCTCTTCCAACCTGCCTTGTTCTTGTTTAATATTTGGGCAAGAAACTAAAGGAGCATTTATTTTGAAGCAAATTACATCTCATATTTTCTTGGAATGAGGCAAAAGCAAGCCTAAAACATATTTCAACTGAGTGAATCCACGTTGACAAGAGCACTTGTAATCGCTTTCACTGTGTGTTCTTGGCCAATTTACAACTACATTCATTGAATTAATAATGATCACCTAAAACTTGCAGAGGCCTAATACCCAGGGCTCTATTGGAAGGTTACTGCCCTGACATTTAAATATTTATTGATGATAATTGGATGACAGTTAGGGATGGGCTCAGCCAGAAATAAATTCAATCTGCTTATACAAGCACCCAAGCCAAGAGTCCTCCTCAGGCCATGTTGATGCAGTACCAGGAGAAATGGGGGTGAAAAGAACTTTGAAGACATGTGAAAACTAAAATCTTGAGTCTTATCATTGCTTTGTTGCATTAAAGGTAAAGGTGAACTTCTTAAACATCATTTTTAAACCAAATTGTCCACAAAAGGGAAACAAATTTGGAATTGAACACATTGCTTTCCTGGACTCTGAAATTTCCCTCCTATTTCAAAAAATATTTGAGTGCATTAGGCATCCAATCTGTATAGAGACTAAAAGGAGACTCAGGGTATGGAATGGAAGAAGTAGAAGGTAGAGAAAAAAAGGCAAGAGCGGGAAAAGAAATTGATCAGGAAGAAAGCACTGAAAAAAATTATTGTAAAAGATCCTTTTCAACCCATGACCTACCTTGTTAGCACTTAGAGACATTTAATCATTATTTCCCCCCAAGATGATTCAGCCTGCTGCTTCTACCTGACAAATAGAAAAATTACAGAGCTAATTTAGGTAGCAGTGTTAACCACCTTCCTGGAGCATTTATTAGCCAAGATATGCCAGGTTATGCTGCAGTAACAAAGAATCTCAAAATCTTAGTGACCAAAAACTACAAAGGTTTATTTCATGCTCATACCACATGTCCATCTCAAGCTGCTAGGGCATTCTGCTCATCACAGTTACCCAAGGATGCAAGCTAACAGAACAGCCAATCGCCCTTTCAGGAGAATCTGTGACTGAATGTTCTGGCTTGGAAATAAATGGCACTAATGACTACCATGGAGGCCATGCTTAAGGCTTTGAATCCCTTCTCTGCTTCTCACTATCCATGTGAACTTGAAAATGTTACCTTTACACTTGGAGGCTCAGATTCCATATCTGAAAACCAGGATAATACAATTGTAGCACCTAGCACATATCTGAGGCTCAATGGGCTTTTGGGTTTTACCACATAAAAAGACATCCAAAGAGCCCAGTGGGTCCACACAGCTGTTTGCTTTTGCTCACTTGTACCATATTATACACAAAATTCCTTAAAGTATATGCTAAACCACAATGCTTGCATGTCTCGAGGCTCTCACTGTCACGCACTGTGGTTTCTAACAGCTCAACAGTTCAATATCGTACATGGTGAAAGGTGACCTGAAGGTGACTGAAGAAATGAGCCAAGATTTCACATCCAACTTTGTATTTCCTGATTTCCACTACAGTCCATATTCACTGCCGTGTCTACCTCTTGTGTCTGGGGACAAAATGGGAGAATAATATACTGCACCTCAGGAGAGCATCTTTGTCAGCAAGCTTTTAGACAAGGATCAGTAAGCCAAAAGGTTATTGTCACTGTTCATATGCAATGATTACCCTTCACAACTGTATTTCCATGATAACTAAGAAAATTAAAGAGATTCAAAAAATGATTGCTACTATAATAAAGCAGAAAGATAGTTTATGGAACAATGTGTTTTAGGGAAGTGTCATGGGTGGAAGCAGGAGAGGGACCCATGCTTATCTCCAGGGAGAGAGGGGAGACCCCATGGATGGAGCAGGCAAGCTGCATCGGGCCTGACAGGTCCCATTTCAGTGTTATGGGACCAATAAATTGGAGAGAGAATTTAATACCTATTATTTTAATACTTAAGAATTTTTTTAAATTCTGTATCTATGAATTTTCAAGGAGGACCAAGTGGTTTGTGCTAACCCGAAGATGTCATGGCTAATACTCTGTGAAACAAAACAACCCACTTTCAAGATAAAGAGAACAACATTCAATATAATTTCTTCATGTTTTTAAATGAATAACCAATTAGCAATCACTCAGTCATGAACCAATAGCACTTACTAGGCTTCCCTTAGTGATTTCTCAGAAATATTGGGAGATTAACAGGATGTGATTAATCAGACTAAGCCTATAAGCTATTTCCAAGTACTTGTTCCTTTTTTCTGTCACATGACAAAGTGGGCTGCAGCTAACAATGTCTGTGATCACAGTGGATGACCACTATGGTTAAGTGGAAGCTGGAGGGGCAACAGCAGTTGGCAGGGTAGGCTGGTATCACATACAAAGAAGGCCTTGTCAGTCAGCAACCCTCAGATCACACATTTCCACCTGCTGTGCACATCTCCTTAGCTGTGCTTGTTGAGAAAGATGCAGCCCAGTAAGTTGGTGACTGGTCCATGGTAGGCTCCAGCAATGAGGATAGACACATACGGGCATGGAAAACTTGTAGGGCAGGTAGAGGCCCGTCCTAACACATAAGCCCTGAAACAATTATGTAACAGTCACCAAAGTCATTAACTTGTTATCCGT